GCCTCGAGTGAGAACTCTGGGTTGATTTGTTCAAGGATCCATCAGTTTGTTTTCTTGGCTGACCACAGTATTCTCGGGAGTCTTCTCCCGCACTAAAGTTCAAAAGCATCAGTACTCTTCCTATCCTCTTTCAAAGTCCGACTTGTGCTTCCATGGAGTGTCACAGGAAATAACATGGCTTGTATGATTTTGATCTTTGTACATATAAAGATATGGCATTTGAATATCTTTTCCGAGGCCTTTATTTATCTATCCAATTTGTATAGCCGCCCATCTCACAGAAAAGTGACTCTGGGTGGCTTATAACAATCCAATAAAAACAACACAAACATAAAGAGTTAAAAATATAAACATATTAAAAGATAAATATGATAAAAAAAAAATATACGAACCCTAGGCAAGAGAGAATAAGGATAGCTAACTCAGCAATGAAGCCATCTAAGCATGTCTCCAGTTCCCTGGGAGCCCCAGGCCTGGTGACATAACCAGGCCTTGAGGGACTTCTGGAAAGTCAAAAGGGATGGAGCTAATCTAATATTGGGGGGAGGGGGGACAATGTTCCACAAGGGCTGGCGCCACAGCAGGGAAGGCCTGACGCCTGGGATCCACCAAATGTAGGTCCCTCAGCATGCCTTCTCTGCTAGATCTGATGGGGTGGGCTGATGTGATCTGGGAGAGGCCTCAGATAACCCAGTCCCATGCCATGAAGTGCTTTAAAGGTTAAAACCAGCACTGGAAGCAAACTGGTAACCAATGCAGTTTGTGGAGCAGAAATGTAACATGCACTGTTCTAGGAGCACACATAACTGCATTGCTACATTCTACACCAGCTGAAGCTTCCAGATACTCTTCAAGGGCAGCACCATGTAGAGCACTTTATAGTAGTCCAATGGAAGTGACTAGGGCATGAGTGACTGTGAGCAGGGCCTGCTGGCCCAGGAATGGGTGCAACTGACATACAAAACAAAACCGTGCAAAGGCCCTCCTAGCCACAACTGCCACCTGCTCCTTGAACAGGAATCATGACTCTAGGTGGACCCCCAGATTGCACACTGGGCCTGTCTGGGGTAGTACCACCCCATCGAGCATCAAAGATGGCATCATCCTGGAACCAATGGGCCCCAAAACCCAGAGTCACTCAGTCTTGCTAGGGTTCAAAGCCTGTTCTCCATCCAGACCCTCACAGCCTCCAGGCACCATGATAAGACTGTCACAGAATTGCTTAATTTGCCAGGAGCAGAAATATGTAAGTGGGTATCATCAGCCTACTGATGATACCTCATGCCATGGTGACAGCTGAGCTCACCCAGCAGTCTCATGTAGATGTTAAAAAGGAGAAAGCACTGAGCCTGTGGTCCCCCACATAGTAGGGGCTAAGAGTGGGACCTCTCCTCCCCAATCATGGCTGCTCTTAGGCATAATCTAGTTTATCTCCCTACCCATTGAGCTCTCAGCCTCCCCCCAATGTTCTTTTCACCCAGCGATATCTGCAGCAAAGTGGGACATGCTATGACAAGTCCCATCCTGCTGTGATGTCACTGCACAGGCCCCTCCTTTACACGTCTGGACTGTGGTGCCACTGCAGGATCGGTCTTGTGTAGTGACATCACTGTACCTGATGAGATGCTGCAAAAGATGATCTTGTTCTTTGCTTGCCAGCAAAAAACAGGCCAGCCTGCCGGCTTTTTGCTTGTAATTGCCAGAGTAAGCTGGCCTGTTTTTTGCCGGCAAGAAAAGGAATATAGGTAGACCCCGGGTTAAGAATGCCTGGGTTACAGATGGCCCATGGTTAAGAATGGAGCCTATTGTAGCAAAATTCAAGTCAAATACACCATGGTTGGAGTTCATTACACAATCCTACTTATACAATATTATACAATAATACTGTTCTGGCTCACATAAAAATTCAACTTAAGGACAGAACTTGGGAACAGAACTCTTCCTTAAACTGAGGACTACCTGTCACTGAAGTATATTTGATTAGTTTTTACTTTGCCGCCCAGTGCTTAGGTGTACGTCAATTGGTTTCACTGGCATAGTGCAGGTCGCCTTGTCCCCCCCCCCCCCCCCCCCCC